TCCCCACAAGAACAAAAATTGAAGTGAAAATTAGTTTTTTATTTAATACTGTATAGATCCATTAAGGAGCTCGTTAGAAAAGAAAAGAATAAAAAATTGCTTCCCTTGTAAGAAAATCGTCAGTAAATTTAACTCAAATGCCGATGAACGGTAAACTAAAAACCTATGATTTCATTCTTTCATTATGAATAATTGCCTCTGAAAATGCTCGTTACAATAGAAATCCTTCATCCCCCTATTAGCGTGAACTATCATTTTATTTCTAAACTATTCTGTTGGAGCCTCCAGAACGAAGTGTAATTTTTCATAATCCCGTGCATATTCAAGCGCCCGATTGCAGCTGATTGGTATAATGAATTTGAGACTATATCTGCCCTATCGATTACACACACGAGCAGAATTTAAACTCCAGGCCAATGGCCGAGCCAATGGTCGAGACGAGTCAGTTGGGTCAGGAGTCGGAAACACTCATTCTTAAGTGCGATTGGATAGTTAGTTAACTTAGGAAATAGAAAGCAGTTGTTACGCAATGGAATTTATGGAAAGTATTTTTGCAGAAAAAAATACTTAATTTGTGTGCAAGTTATACAGTAAGATTTTGAAGACGCGACCTTTGCGTAATTTCTTGTTAAAATTGGTTATAAAACGATTAATTATATATTTGTTTTGCACATTGGCGAAAATATTATCAAAATTACTTTGCTTAGAACGTGAACTCATTAAGACCTCGAATTCATAACATTATTTCTAACTAAAACATGCACAACTAATATACCAAACCACGTACTCGAAAAACGAGGTTAGTCGAGAGCCACCTTCGAAATTATTTACCTACTTAATTGCATTGAAATCTATTCTATCGTTCGTTTTCTCATGCACACACGTACAAATCGCACAATATCGTTAACAAATGCGCATTAGGAATCTATAATATAACAATAAGCGGTAAATTAATATGTGCAAAAGGAACGATTCACACACAAAATCACCGCATTTCAGTCTGAAAATTGTGTTCCTTTTTTAGAAAGCGTTTTGAGATGTGTTTAGGAAGCCAGTGTTGTTTCAGTGACATTGAAGCTAGAAATAAAAAAAATATAACTCAGTACTCACTGCAGTGAGTGACAGCTAGAGAGCGTATTTTCTCGTCGACGAAAACTTGAGGTCACGGACAGACGGACGGACAGACAGACAGACAGACAGACGGACATGGCGAGCACAATAGTGCATTTTGTACGAGTGCGAGCTGTTGACGTTCAGAACACGCGATATGTTCTTCTCCGGCGTGCTCTGCTTGGTCAGTTTGGCGAGCAGTTTTATCGCAGTTCAGGGGAGCGCAATGGCGCTCTTCACAATCGGCATATGACGATAATATTGGATGGAGTAAAAAAAGTATATGAATGTATGAATTCGAAACGACCATTTTCAATCACCACAATGTATACATAGACTTATATTCATTTAAAGTCTACGTGCGTAAAATATTTCATATCAGCAAACTGGCAAAGCAGAGCACGCATGAGAAGAACATACCGCGCAGTTCAGGCGAGAGCGTCATTAGCGCAGTTCAGGGGAGCGCAATGACGCTCTTCACCGACGCAAGGATTGCTCAGAATTGTAGCACGTCTTGGAGGCACCGAGGGCATGTGAGTATGAATCCTAGAGCGAATGAGCTAAGTCGTATATAAGAATGGTTTGCATGCTTTTGCCGCTAGAGCATTGAAAATGAAGACGAGGAGATTAATCTCGTAAGCAGAGATGCAAGCGGGTTGTGGATACTAAGTTGGACAATTTTAAAACTTGGAGAGATTATTTACAATGAAAATTTTTTCAAAGAAAATCACGGTTAGAAAATATCAGATGCATACAAGGATGTTGTGTTCTAAACTAATATTAAATGTCATATCTTCCTTCAACAATGTATTCAAATTATACAAAATAATTTCTACCGCAGCTAAAAAATAAGTTGCATTCCGGATTTAAAACAACTGTTCAGAATTGTTGAATAATAAACGAATGTTTATTATTGGTTCAGCTGCGCAAAAATTACGTTTTGCGTTTAAGTCTGCTAGCGATTTGCTGGTGGTCCGGAAGAGTGCCGGTCCAGAGAGTTATTATCTTGGGTTATTTGGAATTACAAATTTAAATTTTTACTTAACCTTTTTATGAAGTCATGAGGAGCGCACGGCAAGTTGAAATGCGCATTAACGAAAATGAGTTTGATTATATATGGCAGCTTAGCATTGTAACGATAATTTAAAAAAAATTAACTTCGAGAAATGATGATCAAGTTTTCGTTAACAATTCGCGTGAACTTCTCCGTGCTGGTATCAAATTACCAATCCCGTACCTTATTTGCGCATCAAACGAGTGTAATTATTCAGATGTTAACCTCCACTTGCGCTTTGAATTATCGCGCTTTTTTTACAGACGCTCTTATTTACACACTAGGCAAAACTACACAAAGTTATATTTAGGTTGATAATAACTCTCCACATGAACATAAATTGAAGCGATTAGCGAAAATTAGTTCTCTTTTCAATGCCGTATTGACCCATTAAAGAGCTCGTTAGAAAATAATGAATGAAAAATTGCTGCCATTGTACGAAAATCGTCCGTAAATGTAACTTTGAATGGTTGTCAATAAAAAATGTATTCTTCAGATCGAAAAGTGAACAAAAAGTGAGAGAGAGCCATTTAGCATAAAAATTGCGTTCAATGAGAGAGAAAAATAAAGTCAAGTTACCATTGAATGCATTTGTTACATGTAAGATAGAATTGATGGCACCATTTTTCAGTTCCGATGTTGCACGGATTGAAGCGCTGTAGTCTTGCATTTTGCAGTTAGGAGCTGCGCGGGAAACACACATTCTAATAACAGTTAGATATAATTTTTGTAAGTATTGTTATTTGTAGTTTCCTTCTTTGAGTCATTGTAATGTTAAACGTAATGTAACAAGTAAATTGAGTTGTACGTAGAAACGACCATTATTAATCGCTACAATTTATAAACAGACTTACATTAATTTATTTTTAGAAATAATTGAACAAAATATTTCATAGAATACAAATACAAACATAGAACATGATATCTAACATCAACACGGAAGAACTCGTATTCCAAACCACGTACTCGACAAACCATGTTAGTCGACAGTACCTTCAAAATTATTTAACTACTTGAATTGAAACCAATTCTATCATTCGTTTCTCATGCACACACGTACCAGCCGCACAATATATTTAATAAATGCGCTCTAAGAATCTATAATATAACAATAAGCGGTAAACTAATATATACAAAACGAATAATATATACACAGAAGCACCACATTTCAGACTGGAAATCATGTTCCTTTATTGGGAAGCGTTTTGGGAAGGCAGTGTTTTTAGGGACATTGAAGCTATAAATAAAAAAAATTGACATTCAGAAGTAATAATTAAAATAAAAAATTATCTTATTTAAAAATTGTCTTATCATAATTATCTTTTCATAATTATTATAAAATTATCTTTTCATAATTATAATTATCACCCAAACGTTCATGCAATTCAAAGCAGATCTGGAACTAGTACGAGTGAGAGCTGTCGACGTTCAGAACATGCGGCATGTTCTTCTCCGGCGTGCTCTGCTTGGCCAGTTTGGCTAGCAGTTTTAGCGCAGTTCAGGCGAGCTCAATGTATAAATTCGAAACGACCATTTTTAATTACGGCAATGTATACATAGAATTATATACATTTGAAGTCTACTTACATAAAATATGTCATAAGGAAACTCTAAGGAAACTTTGATCTCAATCTTCCATTACAACTAATTTCAGAAATACCTGTTAAAATACAAATACCCATTTGCTTGCATATATTTTTATTGCAATAATCTTTCATCACAGACTTTTGAGCGAACTTAAATTTTGCCAAGTCACAAGCATATTTCAGCACCCATGTAGAGCTAATTAGCAGTGTATTGACTAACAGAATTGGGCGTATCCAAGTAAACAATGATAAGGCTCATCGATCACTGAAACGTGAGGAATAAAGCTCCTGGCCGCTGATCAAGACGAGCAGTCGGTTTCAGGAGTCGAAAGGGATCACCGTAACGAGTCAGTTGCTACGAGTCGGGAGCGATGATTTACAGACGTCGTCATGTTGAACTTGATGAAATAGCGAAACATGTCCAAGTACATTCATACCTTGACAATTAACTGTGTTATATCTTTTTGTCTGACCATCAATTAAAATAAATTGAACTCATATTCAATTGAAATTGAATTGTTTGCAGGATTTTGAATACGCGACTTTTCCTTAATTTATTACTGACATCGGTTCCTGCAAAACAATCGTATATAATTGTAAAAAAATTGCACGTAAAATAAGAATGCACATTTTTTAGATCAGCTGAGTAAAACACTGTATTTTGAATATATATACGCCAACATCAAGAATGAAATTTTTATATTCAGAACAGAATTTCTAACTAGAAAATTTAATAAACGTTTCCTGGAAGTTGGTTATTTGAACTTAACTACGAGAAATTAAAACTGACTATAATTTGTTTGTGCATGACACAGACGCACCAGCTTCAAATAAATTAGGAAATGTACTCCTAGAACCTAAAATTTATCAATAGGTGGAAAGAAAAATGATGGAATAAAAAAAAATTCATGTACTCGTAATAAAGCCCTGCAGATTAGTGTGGAAATTAGCTCCCTCTATTGTGAAGCGTTTGGAGAGTACTTGGGAAGCCAGTGTAATTTCCGGAACCTTTGATATGAACGCCTTGAAGCTCGTAATTAAAAGAACCGCAACCCTAACGCTGAAAATTAATAACGTTTTAATTTAATATTGCAGGAATCGTTCAATAATTTATTTTATGCAATTTAAAGCTGATCTAGAAAAAGTACCAGGGAGAGTTGTTGAAGTTCAGAACACGCGGTATGTTCTTCTCCGGCGTGCTCTGCTTGGCCAGTTTGGCGAGCAGTTTTAGCGCAGTTCAGGGGAGCCCAATGACGCTCTTCACCGACGCAAAGATCACGGGGGATTGTACCACATCTACCTTGGAGGCACCAAGCGCATGTGAGTAACTAAAAACTGCCTTTATAAATTTGCAAAAAAATTATATTGGTTGTTACATTCGTAACTTATAAAGTAAATATTCCTAGGAGTAATTAATTCATTCATTACTGACTGGAGCTACGAAATTGAGCTGTCTGTGGATCGTGATATAGGGACATAGAGAATTAGACTAAAGTCTAATGATGCGTATATCCCCGTCCTTAACATATATTTTGGAACAACTTTCCCTTGATTAGGAGGGAAAATTTCAAAAATCACACAGCTTGTTAGCTATTAGTTATATTTTTTTAGTTGTATTGATACGCGGTGGATTACTGCGAAATGTCCGACGACGCGAGGTGATTTTGCGAAGACATATTATCAAAATGGTAATAGCACGTGGTAATACGGTAATAGTTATACATTGCTGCAGAGCAGGAATGTTCCTACGGCGAAATACAGGCGAAATTCTGTTCATGCACGTTTTTCGATGCCAAGAATCGGTTTTAAAATTAATTAATATTTGAAATAAACTGGTGCATAACTCTTGGTATAACTTAGTGAATTTGCCTTACTTCCTGTAAAACATAAACCGAATATATATGTGACGATGTGATCTTTGAGCCAGCAAATGAACTATATTCCAAAGAGTATTTTTGTGCGCCATGAAACGAAATTTGCCTCCACAATTTCAAGTAAGGCAGGCCAGCGAAAGAGATTGCCATGTTGCATATAAAAAATGTTTTTAGATGTTAAATTTGTATATAAAAAATGTTAAATTAACTTCAAGCAAGCATTTTTTTGTACGAAAAAAAACACAATGATCCAGCTGTTTGTGCTTGCTGCCTCAGGCGTGTGCCGGAATCGGTGCTTCGTGGACACGCAGTGCCTGGCGGTGTCCATCACTCAGGCGGCCTCCGTGTCCAAGTGTCACTTCAGCAGCAGCGCCTCGGTGCTCACCACCGTACTCATCACAAACCCAGCATTCATCACTTTCACGAAGAAAAGAGGTATCTTTATATGCCTATTATGCAATTTTTGTTACGGTATTCTTTCAGGAGAGCCGTTATAGTATTAAGGCAGGATAAAATATGCCAAATTTGAACATGCCTTCGTACATAATGTTGCTTAATACAGAGAATTGTGAAAAATAACGCAATTTTTTCTAAATACATTATAAAATAGAATACAAACCTCGAGTAAACTTATCTGTCATAACATTGCAGAGCTCCAACCGGTTTTGGCGTGTGGAATTGTGGTATTGTCAAACCAGTCACCATATATTCTACTTATAAACGATTTGCCCTCAATAGTCTACAATTAAGGCATTTGAATGCATTACCGCTTCAAATTCCATTCCAGAGATGAATTAGGCCCCAGCATTGGTAACATTGGATATTTTTGGTGGAAATGTTTATATTCTTTGCTAACAATTTCTTTATTTCCCGTCAGATGCGTGTATGCCAGGCTTTGAAGCTGTGGGCGGATTCTGCTACTTTTTCTCTGCCGATAAAGTCGACTTTACTACGGCTAAAAGTTCGTGCCCATCGGGCAGCGTGCTCGCCTATCCATCCTCTGCTACCCAAATGGCTGATCTCGTGGCTTACCTCAAATGCAGTGAGTCATTAACAGGCGGTTCAATTGTTCTTTCTAGGTTCAAAGTGAACGTAAAGTCGAGGATTTGCATTGAAACGTTTACTCCAGTCAATCAGTTTCTTAAACAGTGTTTGGTTTCAGGCATTTGTTTCAGATCCTTGAAAATGTGCATTTGCAATCATATAACGGCTGCCACACTACTTCAAGATTTAGGCATTTTTGTTTCGTAATTGGCTTTTGTGAAATAATTAGAGAGCTGTTTTAGTTGAGAAGTTTATTTAAAGGTAAATCGGCGCTCATGGAAACTGCATTACGACTTTTCAATAATGTTTTCAGAAACAAAAAATGAAAAAAATGTGACATGAATAATTATGAATTTCAGGGACAGGGTTATGAAATCACAAGATTTTTATTCGGTTCAGTTTTAACGCATTTAAAAAGATTAAAAAGACTAGCGTGAGAAAGACTTAATTTCCTGCATATAGGATCAAAAGTTGAGCTGCATATAAGCTTGTAATTTATCATCTTCACCAGATAGAGGTAAAAATATGATAAAATGAACATTTTTGGGTTCATTCTGCAAGCAGCGAGTAGACTGTAGTATTGCAGACTAGTAAACAGTGCAATATACAAGATTATTGTCATTCAATTACTCAGTTTTTTGTGGGTATCGCTTTACATTTTTCGTTAGCCAATTAATTAACTCAGTCATTCGTGCTTCTCACGAAGTCACTCACTCAGTTTGCGAGCTGAACTCAAATCAATCGGGATTCCGCAATTTGTTTTCTTTGAAGGTCATGAATCGATGACTGCTCTGAGGACATGGGTGTGTATGGGGCAAGGTTAATTAAAAGGAGCTGTACATGTCATGGCATCTCATTTGAATGATAAGGCAATATTGAAAAAAATGTGCACTCCTATAAATGAATGGCCACGGATGGTTCTAGGCTTGACGGATGCATTATCTTACGAATAGATTATTTGAAGCTCGTATGCAGTTTTGTATTTTTTTCCACATCCCTCTTACATTCGCCAATGCATTTGTCTTATATAATTGATTGATTTTAATCGAATTGAACGATATCAAATCCGGTATTCTATCCCAAATTTAATAAAATTGTATGCTCAATAAATGCACGCTTCCATTAAATATATGAATATGACTTATTGGGTGCGTGTTTCTTCACAGACAAGTCTGGAATGAGCGACTGGTGGGTCGATTTGACTCTGAATGCGGGGAAGTGGCTCTGGAGTGACGGAACGGCAACCACTGGAGCAAATTTGGGAAACTCTGATGATGGAGCATGCGCCAGACTCTATGCTAACTACGAGCTAAATGACAAACCGTGCTCGAACACTTTCCGTTTCATTTGCCAGTACAAGGTGTGAGCTTGTGAGCTTGAGTTCTCCTCTGTACTTATTGCACTGGTGAAACTAATTGCTCGGCATTCCGCTCGTGCATATATTACAACAGGTAAATTATCCCGCTCCATGAATTTCGAATGAAACAGTCACATGAAAATCCTTGTAAACGTAATAGATTAACTCACTTAACTGCAATTGTAATTTAGAAAATTAGAGAATGTCGAGAAGAACCAATCTAATTTCTTTGACGAAGAAATATTTAAAATGACAGTAAAAACATATATCCCGTCTACAAACCCGATGGCTTGGATTTGAACGAGTTCAACGTTAAAATCAGAACCACGTCAGAAATCCTGTTTAAATGTTCGAACTGTGCAAATAAACAGTAATGTATTGACTACGGTCATAAAATCCGTTTTAAATATTCAAAACACACAAATTAACGGGAGTTCCTCTTCTTATGTTCGAACTATCTACAATTGACAACAGTGCGCGAACAGCTTAAAATACAAGTAATATATTTTTCAAAGTAAAAAATTCGGTTTTAGTTTTCCGACTGAACTTATTATCAGTAGAGAATTGCCTATAAAGTCGAAAAGTCAGCTACCTATTCTGTACCATCGTTCAAACAGAACAAATTACATTGAATGAGCTCTTGAAAGTCGGCCATTCTGTACCAATGTTTGAACTGAAAAATTTACCAGATGTGCATTATCTAATATAAAATGTTTTCATGCTCAATCTGCACAAATAAGCAGTAGTGCATGTTCAAACTGCTGAAATGAACTGCAGTGAATATTTACCACTATCCAAATAAAGAGTCGTGCATTGCTTAAACAGCATAAGTTTCCTGCACTGTGCAGTTTAACACGTTGACTCCAATTGCTTTATCTTGTACCATTATTTCATTTTTTTGTACTATTATGAAACATGGTTGCCAGATGGTCTTTTTTTCCGGATAACCGTGATTTACTTTTTTTCAATTAAATATATAGCGGTTTCAGCGTTTAGTAGGCCGTAGGCCTGTCGCCGTTTCTTAACATCGCAGAACATTCACAGCATTTTGCGGTCTCGAACTCGCAACTCACCCGGCCTCTTTGCCTATTCTGACCAGAAACTGGCGCACAGAGCTGGGATCGAACCCGTGCCTCTCTGCGCCAATCTTGGTACTCTGAACTGTAACCACTGAGCCACCCTGCCTTTTGCGTTGGCCGGCTGAAATTTACGATAGGGGTACTCCCTAATTAAATAAAACAAATACGAATTGAAATTTTTACAACGGAGCCTATAAATATACCAGTATACAAAGTATTTGTATACTGGTATATTTGTATACAAGTATACAAATATACCAGACTGCCATGATTGTGTCTCACCAATGATTGTCATGATTGCCTCTCACCAAAGATACAAAAAATAAAACAACGGAGAGAAAACACGTCATGACAACCTAATGATTATGCAAAGTGATCTTACTAAAACTTTGCGTAAGCACGATTTTAGCACATGTCACTGAATGTTCTATCAAACGCTTATGGCTACATTGATCTGTCTGATTTTTGGTGGAGAGATGCAAAAAACGTAGGGAACAAATCCTGACCTTCCAATTTTTTTTAACTCTATTACTTTTTGAGTTACAGTCATTCAAAGTTGAGTGTCGTTTATTTTGGGACACCCTGTATATTGAGTTATACGCCTTTTTTATTCGCGGCCATCTGGCAACGCTGCATTATGTACCACAACGTCCTAGATGGAGAAATACACTTCGTGTGCGCATATGTCAACGTGTTAAATTGCACAAGTTACCTGTTGAGGATTGTTTAAACTGCACAAAAACATGCAGTTCATAGTATAAACTGCACAAAATCCCGCAGTGCATTGCTTAAACTACGCATATTATTTCCAGCAGTGCGTGTTTTTACTTTACAAATGACTTGCCGTATATTGTTTACCTACACGAATAACCTGCAGTGAATGCTTAACTTCACGAATGACCTGCTGTGCATGCTTAACATCACGAATAACATGCAGTGCATTGGTACAAATAACCTGCAGTTCAAGTTTAACTTCACAAAAATAACCTACAGTGCATTATTTAACGTCACGAATAACCTGCAGTGAAATGTTTAACTTGAAAAATTATCTATTGTGCATTGTTTAACTTCACAAATAGCCTGCAATGCATTGTTTATCTTCACAAATAACCTGCAGCGCACTGTTTATCTTCACAAATAACCTGCAGTGCATTGGTTGACTTCAGAAATAACATGCAAGGCATAGTTTAACTTCACAAATAAACTGCAGTGCATGTTTAACTTCACAAATAACCTGCAGTGCATTGTTTTAATTCACAAATAACCTACAGTGCAATGTTTAATTTAAAAAATAACCTGTACTGCATTGTTTGACTTCACAAATAACCAGCCGGGATTGTTTGTCTCCACTAATTACCAGTAGTGCACTGTTTGAAAGACGGTTTCATACAGTTCATGATGATCCATTGCCAGCTGGACGTGTTTTACAATCTGCTATAACAAAGCACACGAAATTCAGAAGAATCTTGAACTTTGATTGAAGTGCTACACAATGATTTTTGGTGAATTAATTTAATTATGACTCGATTATCGCTTTTGTGGCTGCAATTACGACGGTGATTGCTTTGGTTGAAATTTCAACTTTTAAATTTCGAATGAAATTAAGACATTGTGTGAGTGGCCAGAAAGCAGAGTTGATCAGTGTTGGTAATATTATTAATTTATATCTGATTTTAATTATAATGGAGCATTAAAATATTTGAATAGCTAATTTAGCGGATTTATGTGAAGTTACCTACTAAGCACCCACGCACCAACATTTATATTGATCCTTATTTCCCAGAGAAAATTTAATTTTCTAAGTTTCTTGCCAATAGGCGATGCTAACTTAATGTGGTATTCTTCTACTTCTACGCAATTGACCTTCTGGAAGATATTTATAAGGTTATGTGGCAGAACGACGCTCTGATAGTACGCAATCAAGTTCCTGATTTTAAATCTGTATTCAATTACAATGATGGCTCATGGATCTGTTAATATGCATGTTTTTCGAATTTTGACAAAAATTATTTTCTTTTATAGGCTAAAATCCACAGATCAGAATTAATCAAGACAGATATTTTATTAATGTCCTCGCAATGCTTAGGCTAAACTAGTACTAACTTTACGGAGATCGTTTTAATTCCAAGAAAATATCACTGTGTGCAAATATAATAAAAGATCGAGTCACAACGTAACTGAAGTTTGACGTTTCAACCCTACTTTATGTAGTCTTATATAGAGTCGATTCGAATGATATTTGAATTTTTATAGTAATTTCCAAGTCGGCTTAAAGCAGCATCATTGTTTCTACCTTTGTTTCACATCACTCCGATACGCAGTGGACGACAAATATAGCAAACGCGGGTTGCATGATTGCATAAAAAATAAATTCGTACACTCCATGAATAAATGAATACCGGTTGAAAATAACATGTTGAATGCTTTAACTTCTGACATAGCCAGTTCCGGGTTTGCTTTGAACATTGATGATCTGAACATAGTAAAGAGGAATGGTAGCATGAACATCTTCTGCTATTATCAATTTTTATATCATAGAGCGGTGAAAATTTGCATACTACGATATAGTTTTTTATGAAATTATTCAATCTCGTTCGTTTTTTTATAATCGTAAGCACATTAAATGTTGTGGCGTTGCAATTATTGTTATCAAACCCAACCTTTTATAACTGCTTTGGAAAAAATTGCAACTGAGAGGAATTTAAGGAAACCTCCAACGAGACTAGCCGTTGTGGATTATTTATACCGGTCGACAGAAGGCACGTATTTATGTCGATCTATCGCTGATAAATGTGTCAATGAACAGCTATTAAGTTTAAATGCGGTCGGCAATTCTGTACAAAGCAATGGAGATGTTTTTGCTTTGTAAAGTGGAATTTCCGAATGACTTGGAATTGGCTCACAAATCAACATTAAATCACGTAGAAAATCGATTCGCGGCATTATTGCAGTTAAATGTTACCTGAAGCCAAAAGCTATACGACGCTTCCAACTGCCAGTTACAATAACGTACGGGTAGACTTGCTTCAAAATAATCATATAATTGAAGAAATATTGTCCGAAGTAATAACAGAAATTTTGTAATAAAAGTACTTTGATTTCACCAACGAATAAAGAACGATTATTTCGATTATTTCGCGCAGTTAAGCAAGTATTAATTCTCGCAATTATAGTTCGGCTGTTTTCCTCCTTGCTATGGGAATGTTCGAACACACGTGTAACTCACATATCGTGCGATTTTCTAAAATTCACGAAATTTTCTGGCAGACAACAACAAAATTAACGACAATAAGTTTGCACAAATTTATTTTAATTCGTGAATTGCAAAATAGTGGAACTGTCTAACGGAAGTTATTTATTAGCTTGAAGTAATTATCAGATATTCATTCCAATTCACTCATGAGCCCAATCGTAATTTTCACAACTATTTTTTAAAGGAAAATTCCGCTTAGATTATCAATTGATATCAATTTAATTTCAGTGCGGGTGAAATATCTCAATCATTACGATTATCAAGACTAATATCAACCTAATTAATTCGTACGGCTTTGACGATGAGTCAGATTCCACATCAGGAGCAATGCTCTGTGAGCGACAAATTCATTAATTGTGTGTCTGTGAAGAAGAGCTGGCAGCTGCCGTGTGAGCTTCTATTGAATTTTTTTGGCCGTCTTCTACATTTTTCTTGCTGGCTGACTTATTTCCTTTACTCAGTATGACTGCCAACTCCATTAGTGCAATTTCGTTGAGATTTTTGGATTTGTATTTCATGCATAAAAATCATAAAAAATGTACCTTTATGTCACAATGTTATTTCATCTCCATTTACCGACATCTCGTTTATGTTACTGTAAGCTCGTATTACATACGTGCAATAGATCACGTCTTAATAATCATAGTTAAAAGGCCTGTAGGCAAGCTCGTCCAGTT